CATTCGGGGCACAGGAGCATTTCGTACCTAGTACCATCAGGGCGTTCCTCCCCAGCAGGCCCAAGATCGCAATCCGCACCAAAGGAAATAACAGCCCGAAGGTCACGCTCCTCGAGTCCGCAGAACCAGGTCAACCAAGATTTCGATATCCTTGGTTCTTGTTCAGGGGCTTCAGGGGCCCCAGCACGGCGGGCAGCAGAGAGTGATGGCCAGAGCGCCTGCAGATCCTGAAGCAACAGCGAAATCCTCCCCACGGGTTCCCTGGGGTCCACTTTTCTCTCGAAGCACAGTCGTCCAAACAAGACCGCCCTCACCGCTTTCGCGGGGTCATACTCTGGCTCCTGAGGTGCAAGCCCAGGGGATATCACTCTCTGCCACCAACGCAGCCTTCGGAACAACAGCGTCGATGTGACGGAGTAGATATTGGCCTTCCTTCGGATCGCCTCGTTCGGAACATGTCGGACGTGTGCAGGGGAACGGAGCAGGTCTCGGAGCTTCTTGGTTTGCCATCGCTCTAATCTCTGGAGTTCGGCCTGGGTAAGTATCGCAATTTCCATAGCATAGACGTCAATGGAGCGAACCAGGGAGGCCCACAATCTGATCTTGAGTCGGTAGCTGAGGTTCCCCTTGAAGGCCCTTTGGGAGAGGCGTCCGTGGGCAGCGTTAGCCCCCAGTAGGCGTTGCCTAAGCTCCTCGGACATCGAGCCATCATCTCGAATGCGGACTCCCAGGTACTTAACCGACTTCTGAGCGTGAACCTTGATCGCGCGGCCCTCAGAGTCTTTCATGGTCACACCCGTGCTTTGGTTGATGATGTCTTTGCGCAACTTTTTACAACCCGTCCCCGACGAGACCATCAACACCTCAAGTTTGGGCGCGTTCATCGTCTTCCCACCGGCCTCGATCACCGACTTCACGACCTGGAGGTATTCGGAAACGCGATCGAAGCCCTCGAACATAGCAAAACCGATAAGGTCATCGACGAACTTAACCTGCGAAACGTCCTCCTCGAAAGTCCCCCCCCTCCAATACCGCTTGGCCCCTGATGTTCGCCATCGTCGGGTCCGAGAAAACCGAGGCCCCATCGAAGCCGTGGGTCACCTGCTGATTCGAAATCTCCTGAGTGATGAAATCGTAGATGGCGACAAACAGCGACGGGCCCTCCACGCTTCCCTGGCGGACCCCACGGCGCACCAGGAGGGTGTTGCACGGTTGATTCGTTTTGATGTCCCTCAGGATATAGCGCGTGCCCTCGTGGAGGGCCTCAAGCGTGAGTCGAACGCCCCTAGACATCGCCAACTTATCGAGGGAATCCCAGATTTTGCCACGAGGCAAGAGATCGAATGCTTTTTCAAGGTCGACAAGGGCTGCCACCAGCACAGCAGCTGGGTAGTTCGCGCGGCCCCTGCAAACGCGGAAGCGGCGTATGATCTCATCGACGATCACGATGGCGTCTCGCGTGGACCGTTTGGGAAGGGCCCCCAACTGCGTACAGGACAGGCGGCCTGCACAATGGCGAAGCTCTCGCATGCACGCGACGTTGGCGAAAGCCTTGCCCATGTGGTTGATGAGATTGATGGTGCGGTAATGATCCGTGGCATTTCTTCCGTCTCCTGTAGGCTTGCGAATCGATGCGATCTCCCCATCCTTGAAGCGCTGAGCAACTTGTTTCGTCTGATGGCATGCTTAGAAAATCTCGGCGAGGGGGCCTGCGACGCGCTCGAGGCACAGCTTCCATGGCTCAGCCACGGCACCATCCGAGTGAGGTCTCCGATCACTGTGGTCGGTGCTGTTGGGGTCGCACCACTTCAGAGTCGGAGCAGCTTTGAAGTTCGGGAGCTTCATGATGGCCCTCGCTGTGCTGGACTCCGTGATCTCCGTAGATGGATCGTCCAAGTCCGTGAGCGGGGAAGTAGGCACCAGGGGCGGAGTGACCTCGTCAGCACAGAAGATGGAGCACAGCGCCTTAGCCCTCACAGCCATGTCCTCATGGTCGAAGCATACCGTGCCTGTCTCAGGGTTGAACACCGTCATCGTTGGCAATGTAGGCTTAGGTGCCAGGCGACGTATGATGGCATAGCTCTGGCGTGTGTCCTGATGGCGATCCGCAACCTCCGCTTGGGTCACCAGCTCGGCCGTCAGCTGGCGCTTGTGTGATCGAACTGCTTTCTTCGCAACTTTGGCTGCGCACGAGTACTGGTGGCAGGGCGACTTGTAGAGCCAACTGCCTGGGATTGTCCTGACCATCAGGCGCTGGTAGTACTGCTCCTTGGCAATGACCTGCAGGATGTCCTCTGGGAGAGCAGGGCGCCCCAAGTCCGACGGCTGAGTCGAGTACATGCTCGCGGCGGCGTCGACCAGGGCGCTCTCAAGGGTGCTGAAATAGGCAGAGGTGTCTGGGTAACACCGTCCAGATCCACAGATGTTTTGCCAGTCTTCAGCGAGTCGGAGCTCATCGATCCTCTGGGCAACTGCATCCTGAAGATGAGCACTTCGAGATGGGATGGGGGCTGCTGGAGCGTCCGACGTCTGCTTGCGTGCACTGATGAGAATCTTCAGATCCTGCATGATGAGAGCACGGTTCCACCTCATAGTTTCTTTCTTCGGTGCCCGCCTGCACCGCAATCCCGCATCTATCTTCGCCTCCACTGGGCGATGATCACGATACCCCCCAAGGCTCACTGGAAGGTCCCTGAGCGGGTAGCTGCGATGGCCGTACCCCCCCTGCATGCGTACGCAAATGTAGTCAATTGTTGACCAGCTCCGTCCATCCGTGTGAACCCACGTAGAGTTGAAGCGAGTCGCCTTACCAAACGTATTGGGAGCCGTCAGCCCGAGATTTTGAAACACGGAGAGAACTTTTGCACAATTTTGATTCGTTCTGCTCTGGGTCCTTCTCGAACCTGCAAATCCTATCTTGGGCAGCGATGGAGCAATCGAGGCATTCGCATCGACGCACCAGACCAGCGCCGCGCGCCTTGGGATACTTGATATCGTGGCCGCGCACTGTTGCCAGAAAACGCCCTGGGCCCTGTAGTGTACAGCTGGGTCTGGCGTCGGCTGCCCATGCGGCGGCTTCGGTGGCTCATTGGTCCACGAGTACCCGTTGAGAACGTACAAATCACGGGGACGCGGGCCATCACGTTTGAGTCGTACACCCTGAAGGCGACCAGGGATCCACTCATGAACACACCTTATATCGTCCTTCCCAAAGAAGCGTCGGTTGACTGCAATGAGACATCCATCCCTTGCCCTAGGCGAGGTCCTCGCCGTCGGAAGGATATGATACCTTTCACATTGCCATGCAATGCTCAGTGTCATGAGAGTGTTTTGAAAACAACATATCGCAACTTGTCTCCCTCGAGCGAGGCGAAGAAGCTCACTAAGACGGTCGGCGACGACTAGGGACTCCGTGTTGTAGCTCCAGACCGTGATAGTTTGTGTCTTACTCAGAGATCTCGATGTCCTCAGGCCCAAAGGGGCCGCTGGGGACGGGGTGGCGGAGGGTTCGGCACGAACATGAGCTGCAGCCAGGCCAGCCGCCGAAGCGCGAGTATAGTGTTGTCCACGGTACCAGCACGCTCCAGTCACTGCTACAAGCCTCAGTGCACGTCGAAGGGCTCTCCTGTTCCCCATACACCCTAGCTCCCACGATCTGGCAGTATTTGTAGACTGTCGATGTGGTCCAGCACGGCTGGGCTACCGTGCAGCGCTCACCTCGCAGGCACCAGCGCCGATGCCCTGGCCAGCTCCTTCAGCAAGAGGCAGCAGGCAACGCCATGGCCAGGGGAGACTGAAATGGCCTGGTGGGGACTTGCGACCCCACGCCCGCCTGTGCGAGCAGCGTCCTTGAGCCGCCGAGGCTTCGTTTTACTTCCGCCGCCTTCCGCCGAGGAGGAGATGGCAACTCCTTCGACCCTCGAAGGCGAGGCCCTTTCTGGACCGCCCCAGTGGGGGCTGAGGGCTGACGGCAGGGCGGAGGTTGGAGGGCCAGTTGGGCATGCCGAAGGGCCCTCTCAAGCGCCATCGGCGGGGATGGAGATGTTTCCGGGCCGCGCTGAGGGCACGGCGGAGGGGCGCTTGTGCACGCCGATGGGCCCTCTCAGGCGCAATCGCCAGGGATGGAGATGTTTCCCTGCCGCGCTAAAAGCCAGGGCGGATGCTGGAGGGCCGGTTGTGCAAGCGCAGGGCCCCCTCAGGCACCATCGGCGGGGGTGGAGATGTTGCCCTGCCGCCCTTCACTGCGACCCTCTGCGGCGCTGCTGCGGCGCGCACGACCTGCCTTGTTGAAACCAAAGGAGCCTGAAACAAAATAGGCCTTAGCCACTCTGAAATATTCCTCTGCGTACATGCCCCTGGTGGCCTCCCAAGTACATCACAACACTCGGACTCCCTCTTGGACCATTGGCTACGCCAGCTCACTCAATCATCTTACAGGGCGCCTCCATGAACGAAGTGGAAGCAAACTGGGCCTGGTATGAGGACGAGGAACGCGATAAAACCTCAACCGTTTCTGAACGTCTGCGTGAAAAGGCAGATGATTGACTTATTATTATGTTAACTACCTGTACGGCCCAATCAATGACGCTTTGACTTGTACTGTGCTGTATGAAGCAAGGGCAGCTAAGGAACGGAATGTGCGCAGAGAAAATGGAAACCGCTTCAGCCAAGAGACGGGAGCCCGAGCAGCTGACGCAGAAGCATAGTCGACCCCTCCTCCTGCTGCTGCTCCTCCTCCTCCTCCTCCTCGTCCTCCTCTTCCATCCTTCCTTGTGCTGCTTCTGCTCCTGCTCCTGCTCCTCCTCCTCCTCCTCCTCCTTCTCGGGCAACTCTTCCTTCTCCGCCCCCCTTTCCCGCTCGCACGTGCACAGCAACCAGGACCGAGCAGAGGTGGCCGCAAGGATCCTTGTGGTGCTTGTAGTTTCCGTCTCGGTAGCCAGCCCAGCCCAGGTAGAGCACGTCGACGTCCTTCTTCTTCTCGGCCTCGGCCATGGCGAGGTTCAGCCGCTGCGTGAAGACCTTCCCGTTGGCCTTGCCGCCCTTGGTGCGCTTGAAGATAAGCTGGACATCATCCTGCACACATCTTTGGACGGACTGGTGGGAACTCGACAGGCGCATAGGATGTATTGGCTCGGGATGTAGCACTGCGTAGGAACGGACCTTGCTGCGGGTTTCCCGCTCCGAGAGCGAACCACGTCATGAATTCGATGGCCCGTCTGGCCAAAGGCGCTAGATGCCAGACCGGGTTTCTCGCGGGGACGGATAGCGCTAGATTGGTCGAATCTTCGTTGTCTTGGGGCCCTGTTGGAGCTATCATCGCATTTCCGTGTCAACGATCTTGAGATCCCTGGGGATCTGAGGGGCAGAGAGTGTGATCATGACCGGCGCGCGGCTCCAAGGGGAGAGCAAACTCTGTCGGCCCCTGGATGCACGCCGCACACTTTGTTAGTTTGGCCTTGAAGCTCCAATGGCTGCTACATGCGTTGCTGGCGACGGCGTGGCACGAAGCCGCAGAAGCGAAACTAAACTGGAACGCTGCTGCGTCAAATAACTGCGGAGACCGTTTTCCATGGCCCACCAACTGGCAGCCACGCCATACTCCTGCAGGAAGAAAGCTTGTATGCACATGCGTCAGCCAGAGGAAACACGCGTGCTCGACTACATGCGCGGCGGACGCGCGAGAGCGCCCGTAACATTGCGACGCACCATCAACAGCATCATCGTCTGCATTACAATGCCGACGCCATATCGTCCACGACCACCAAGCGACTCCTGCAAACCTCAAGTTGCGTTCATGTCGATCCACAGATGTTCAAAATCCCCGGTGGCTCCGTCGAATCCGGGAAAGTGCACGACCACCGCAACAAACAGACGCCCGCATTTCTGCGATGGCCCCTTGCCAGCGCCAAGGACATGCGTGGCGACCATCCGCGACACCACGAGCTGTGGCCCGAGTGTGCTTCCTGCGGTGCCGCGCGCCGGCTGCCAGGCTCGGTGGCTGTTGTCGTGGAGCCCGCGGCCCGAGGGCGCCGCGGCTCGGGAGAGCCGGGACACCGGGTGGCGCCTGCACGGCACTCGGAATCGGCCCGCCGCGTACCTCTCCACAGGGCCTCCAGCGGCGCACCCCACAAAAGCAGTGGCATGGCAGCGCGAGGCCCCTGGCCGCCAGTCCGAGCGGAAGGCCTCGGAGGCCCGATTGCAAGCCACAGGAAGAGCCCCGACGACTGGGAGCACCTCTCGACGCGCGCAACCGCGGTGAACCCACGCGCGCCACGCGCGAACTTATGTCTGAGCCTACCCGCAGAAGCAGCGGAGGGGGCGCCTTTACTCAAAAGCTCTGTGGGCGCATGGTGGTCCTGGTCCCTTATGCTCCGCTACTCACATGGCCCAAATTTGAAGTGTCTTCGGGTTTGCACGGGGAGTCGTGTGGCCATCTCAGGATGGTCTTGCAGCCTTCTCGGGGGCGTCGACATCTTGGAGCACTTTGCAGACGTCTTGGGCCCTCTTGACATGTGATGGGGGCCTCCAAGCCCTCCAGCTGAGGAGTGGGGCGTATACCTAAATTAACGAACACCGATTCGGAATCGCACTGAGGCTCCTCCTCACCTCTCCTTCTCCCCTCTCCTCTTGGAAGGGCCCCCTCTCGCCGAGCTCTCGTGCGCGCCGCCAAATGACATCCCCCCCAGGTCCTCCCCCTTTCCACTTCCCAGACATCCAACATGCGACAAGATGATTTTTGCCAAGCCGTGGCCCCGGAGCTCCAAGCCCTTCCCCCGGGGGACCCCGGGGGAAGCATTTCATCCCGGACTCATTTCTGATGATCCCAGGGCCCGAAAGCAATCCCCAAGGGCTGAGATCTTGGGCGCCCAGCCCTGATCAATCGGGGATACGAAAATCGGAAGGAAAACGCCCAGACATCAAAGGGTTAACATTCTCGGACGTCTGCAGTCGACGCTCCCAATCCATCTCTCTCCTCGATCCTCGCGCCCTCCCGGGTCACGTGCCCAAAGCCAGAGCCAGGGACATCGAAGAGCACCTCGACGATTGAAGCTCCAACCTGACTGGTATCGCCCCATCCCAGAAACCCGACGTCGCGATTGTTGTGCAACGTCGACCCCAGAGGCCTGGACTTCTTGCCAGGGACCGGATGCTCATCCCGCCAGTCGAAAACATGGTATCGCATGGGTGTCCTTTAGGGCCCCCTTCCCTGGGGCCAATTTCTTCATCACGGGTTATATGTTAACCGTCCCGAGGTCTGGCGAGGGCAGCTGGAGACCAAAAACGGCAGCGAAACGCGACGGGAGGAGAGTAGTGGGAGGGTTTTCTCGCCGTGCTTTTCTCGCGACGAGAGGAGGTGGAGACACCAGCTGACGATGGACACCGACGACCCGTCGAACGAATACGACGAAGACGAGCTGGCCTCATGGGGAACGATCAAGGGGGACTGGCTCGGGGACGGACATCGACATGGAGTCGGCGATAATTACATGATCGGCGATGGGCCCCCGATAGCAAACCTCCACGTTGATCTGGTTCCCATCGGCGATCAATCGGCGCTCAGGGGTCGATGCATCTTGGAGGCGGCCAGCAGGAGGTCTCAGCTGGTCAAGAGGGGGGGAGTTAAAGGCAAATCCGCTTAAAATCGGTCCCCAGATCCCTCCCAAGGTCCATCTACTGTAGTTTTTCGCCCGTGATCCGTTTGCGCCGGCCCCGGGGCCCGAAAACGGTCCCCGCAAATTGTGAGAGACCACGAACACCTTCTCCCGAACCCAGAACCTCGACCTTCGCCTCCCCTTCCTGCTGGCCGGAACCAAATGCTGGGCACCTCGGAACCCCAGCCGGCTCCAAGCCTCTGACCACCAGCTTTAAGTCGGGCGTGTCCCCCTACAGGCGGATTTTCGACGAAACATGAAAAATACTAAAAACATACTCCGAAATGGCCCCAAAAAATACTTGAAAATAGTCCCCAGACTATTTGACTACTTTTGAATATTCCTCCTGTAGAGGGACGGGCCCGACTGAAGCCTTCCCACGCCCCCGCCCTGCCGCCCACGGGCTCCTCCAGCACCAGCAGCGGCCCGGGGGCGTCCACGGCCCGCTGCCACATGCGGTAGTGGGAGTGGGCGCAGCCGCGCTCTCCTGCGCCCGGCGCGGCGCGGAGGGGAAGAGGGCCCTCCCCCGGCGCCTCTCGCGGCTCGTGGCCGTTTCCGCCCCTCCGGGGGCGCCCGCCAGGCCTCGGGGCCGTCCAGAAGACCACCCAGGAGGAAACAGGCTGGCCCCGGGAAGGGGGCCCCGAGGGAATCCCCTGCGAGACTATGCTTTCGACTGGCGGGCCCTCTTCTTCGACTTCGGCCCTCGGGGGCCCCTTGGGACTGTCAGGCCCCGGGGCCCTCAAACACGGGGCCCCAGTATAAACTTCTTGCAGTACATCGTTTCCCGAGCGGTGTGGCCAGAAAGCGCCCGCCACGACGCATATAATTACTGTAAGATTTCTCGGTGTGCGCGTCGCCCCTGGCGGGGCGACGCACAGACAGTATGAGTATGTTTGGGAGACGCCGATGAGACGCAATCGGGACTTCTGGGGCCGCGAACACCCTGGGCCTTCCCAAATGTCCACGAACGTGTCCTGGATCAGGATTGGTATTTCACTTTCACCCCAAGGAAACTGGATAGGAGACCCGTGGGCCAACGTCACGAAACGATTGCAAAAGATGGGCCTCCCCAGGACCAGCTTGTCGTCCCGGGTCGTTTCCTGACGGTCCCCAGGACCGAGGAGGGCCCCCTGCAAGCTGGAAGCGGCGAAAAGCCTCGGGGACCCCGCTTCCCGCTTCCCGCAGAACCCCTCTCCTTTATTGAAGGGGCCCTGGGACACACAAATAAATACACACATGAACAAACATATTCCTTATATTTTCCCATATTTTCTGGGTTTCTGTCTTCCCCCCCAACTGCCCATATTTTCCAATATTTTCAAGGAGATCGACGATTCATTGTGTCTGTGTTTTTTTTTTCCCCCCCTTCTGATTTATGGCGACCCGTGCGGGCGTTGCCCAGGAGCCGTCGCGGACGGCGTCCGGCTTGCCCAACTACAGGGCGGCACGCCTCGGGCACCCCGCGGGGCCATCCGAAGAAACTGCCCGCGGTGGAGGGCCGGTCCCCGGCAAGGGGGTCCCGAGGTCCGGGGGGCCCACGTTGCGCCACAGATGCGGTGGGGGCATTGCGCAAGGAACCCTTCGATAAGGAGCCCAGGGTCTGGAATGCTGTGGATATCCAATCGTGGATCGGCCATGGAGATCGCCACCGCCCTCATCAGATTTTGGAATCCTCCAGGGTCTGCAGCCTCCTGAGCACAGTCCTTAGCGAACGCCCCCACCGTATTGATATACGCCCGCGGGTGAGTTTTTCCCGTTCCGAGGGTGAGGGTGGCGGTGTACACACAAACTCGTTGGCTCTTAGCGGTGGTCTATTCTCTGCCATCCTCCAGTCCACTGGGGGTTGTCTGTGTATGCATGCTTGTATCGGACATGTCACCAAAAAGTCGTGGTGTCGAATGTCTGGGACCCCCCCGCGCTCGCCTGGAGAGAAGTCGTACATTACGCCCGGGTCCTTGAAATCTGCCACGCTATGCACCAGCACTCCGTCCTTGTGTATGTCCTCGCGGGTGTGCAGAGGGCGAGGGGAGCAGCTAGAGGATGGACCGGAGGCACCTCTCTCGCGGCTCACGAGCGCGGCCTTGCTGCGAGAAGCGGCCTGCCCTGCCAGAGCGGGGCGCTTCGAATTCGCCACGGGCACGCGCAAAGAGAGCTGCCAAACGCCATGGTCTTGACAGTAAGCACACACGATCAGTAATACTGCTACAAGAGATCTCGCGGCACAGTCTTCGCGCATGTTCGAAGGTCCTAACGTGCCCCAGAGCTTCTGCCAATCCCTGTGGCCATCGTGGGATAGGATGCTTCCGTGGGCCACCTGCTGGCAGGCAGATTTCTTATGTGATGTGCTCCCTGTGCAGTCACGCAGCTCGGGAGCGGGACCTGCCCTGGCTGCCGTGCTGAGCTGGCGTGGGTCGGGACCTGCCCTCGGCCCGGAGCATCGCCCCAGGGAGGCGGGCATGGGTTGCCGGCGCAAGCGAGGAGGCTAGGGCGACTCTCTGGAGAATCGCCAGCTTGGTTCGGGGGTTGCTAAAGGTGCCTCTGGCCCAAGGTGCCCCCAGCTTTTCGCTCAATTTTGGAGCCCCTGGGGCCCTCTGGGCCTCGTGAGGGGTGCTCTGGAGGCCGTGGGGACCTCCTTGGAAATCCTGAGGGCACCTTAGGCCAGGGGCACTTCTAGCAGCACCCGATTGGTGAGGAGTGCAAGAAAACCATGCAATCAGAGAAGCATGAAGAGCATGCCGTCTGCACACACTTGGGAGGGCCCAGACGTACACCCAGGGCGTCGACGACGTACCTCCGATGAAGTGTTGCCGCGGCCACGGTTCCAGCCAGGGTATACGCAACGATCTGGCCTTCGGGGGCATCCCGAGGCGGGCCCTGAGGCCCCTCTCCAGGGCACATATATTGTGGGGTACGCTTGCCCTCCCTAAGCAGATAGCTCCGAGCATGTCGCTAGTCGAACTCGCCCTCCATCACGCGCTGCTCGTGAAAGCAATATACGCTCCCAATGTGGACGCGCCACGTGTCTGCTTCGGTGAGATCGCCCTGATCACAGAAGAGCGCGCCCCGCTCACGCTGGGCCTTCAGTTCCACCACTTTTCGCGACATGCAGACCTTGAGCAATCGGCTTGTCGCCCGCATCGCTTTCGCGTTTTTTACCCGCTCCTCGACCTGAGACGACCTGCTGGGGCCGGACATGCTTCTGGTGCCCAGCTCGGCCTCGGAGCAAATTCCGAGAACGTCCCGACGCCACGCGCTCGCGGCGACCAAGCGCAGAGGCAAACAAACGGGAAGGACATCCCCAGCACTGGTGATTGCCTGCGCGGGCGCTGATAGAAGAAACAACATCTGTGCAAACATAGATTGTCGAAGGTCCGCGCGAACTTCTTGGATCGGCGCTGGACCCCTCTGGCGGCGCCTCGGGAACCCTTAACCCAAAAATGTTGACGTCTCGCTTTTGCCTCCGCCGCATTCCGCCGAGCTTCCGACGGCTTCCGCCAGCGCACCGCACCCGCGGCGCCGTTCTACTTTCGCTGGCCTTAGAACGGCCTCCACCGACTCCACCGAAAGCAAGGATGCGCCGAAGGCGAAGCCATGTCTGGAGCGCGCCATCTGCTTCCGACCGCCTGGCGCTTCCACGCACTTCGGCTTGCTTCCGTCTGCTCCCAGTTGCTTCCACATGCCGCTTATCGTTCCAGCCGTCTGGGGTCCGATGCGCTGGCATCGGCGAAGGCCATGGGCCCCGGCGCGAAGCAACATCTGACAGATGTGTCACATGCATCTATACGAGCAGGCCGACACCCTCCCCCATGGGTAACGCTCAGATGTGCAACACGTGTGGACATGGCCGATCACGGACACCCCGAACCCTGCCTTTTACTCCCACCACCCTCCAGGAGCCTTCCGCCGTCGCGTAAGCTGTGCCGACTCCCGCCGAGGGCGAGGTGCGCGCCGAGAGCGAAGCCTTTTCTGGAGCACGCCACGTGAGCGCAAGCGCTTGTCAGCCCGAGCGTGATCCTGTCCAGCGGGTACGGAATCCGTGGGCTCAGAGCTGACGATCACCAATCATGGAACACACATTCCTGGTTAAAGACCAGATGGGATGTATACCTACAGACCTGAGCAGTGGAATACATGCAAGACGCGTCGCGCATGTCCGCGAGGCGATCGAGGGAAGAACGGATGGGAAAGTTCACAACAACGAGGCAAGGAGAGGTGCTGGCCAGTGGGAAGGGGAGCGAGCGATCAAGGTGCGGTTCGAAAGTACTGGGGCCCCACAAAGTTGAGATGAGGTAAGCATACATGGATGCACAGAAGCACTGACGTGGGATGCGTACGAAGAAATAGAAGGTCCTCATACTCTCCGTACAGGGCATTGCACTTCGTGTTCCAGCTCTTTGCAACTTCCTCGCGGTCGCCCAGTGGTGACAACAATGCCGACGCTGCACCGCACCCCCAATTAAGGCAGCAGTCGTCACAGGAAGCAGACAGCAACTGCAGCACAATACAGCTTTTACGCACATGGCAAGACAAACATACATGAAGACAAGGGCCAAAGAAGAAGATAACGAGCAGAAAGCGAGCCGTCAAGAATTTGAAATTGCAGGACGGCAAACATGTGGATATCCGCAAACGGAACAACAACTGGACCGTCCCGAAGATGGAAGCGTTCGGAAAAATAGCAAAGAGAGCGATACATAAGCAATGGCCGAGACAGCAGTGACTCGGTGGTGGTGGCGGTGGGAAGAAGAGGCGTCTTAGATCTGAGAACATGGAGCGCAAGATGCCCCCCGCCCCCTCACATCCTGCTCGGCTCGACTTCGGTCTGTACGCGATGCTGCCAGCATTTGTAGTGTTCTCTGCTGATGCAACAGACGAAGAAACATGAGCGCAGCACGAATCATCAAACAACGAAACAGTTTGCCTAGCGAAGGGTCAAGCCATATGCAGTTGTTAATCACGCAGTCGTGAGCATCGTCCTCGGTGGAGCTCCATATGGGGCCACAAAGCGTGTGAGGGGTGTGCCGAAATGGGCGGAGGGGACACATGCGAACACAGCCACTGGAGCCTTCGGTGGAGCTCCCTATGGAGCCACGAGGCGTGTAAGGGTTGTGCCGAAATAGGTGGAGCTTCCCCAGGGGCTCCAACATGGAGCGAAAAGCTGGGGGTATCGTGGGCCAGGGACACTTTTAGCAACACCCGACTCTCGGACACAGTCGAGACGCAGGGGTCGAACGTGCACGCGCATCAACCCAACGCGCAATGATACCATCCTAGCTGCCCCGGCACGCAACACGCAGCCCACAGCGGGTCGACACGGAGCTCAGCCTGGTCGACTGATCAGGCGGATCTGGCGCGACAAGTTCGCCAAGACGTGGACCAAATCAGCACGCAGCGTGCCAACATGGACGCCTTGAACACGGCACGTGCTGCGTTTCAGCGCGGGCGCACCAGGGCAGCCAAGCGTCGAAGGAATGGGTCAAGCGTGCAGTCGGCCTTGATTGGACAGGACACGCGAGAAGACACAAGACCCTTCCGAGGGCCACGTCGCCATAGGAGTGCAAGAAGGCACGTGTCGCGAGGCACAAGACACAAGGGTACCCTTGAGCTGGCAGGGTCGACCTCCCAATCCGGGCCGACCGTACAAGCACAGCAGCCCGCCACGAAATGCGACCGTCGTCGACTCACTGGCGGCGGCCGTGCAATGCTATGCCACGTGCTGCGGGCGCCTGGACGGCGCGCCTCCATGCGCCCCTGCCTCCCCTGCCTGCCTGCCTGCCTGCCTGCCTGCCTGCCTGCCTGCCTGCCTGCCTGCCCGCCCGCCTCCCTCCCGCCACTCACCCCGCTCATCCTCCCGATGGATCGTCCCTTCTCCTCCTCCTACCCCTCCTCCTCCTCCTCCTCCTCCTCCTCCTCCTCCTCCTCCTCCTCCTCCTCCTCCTCCTCCTCCCCCTCCTCCCCCTCCTCCTCCTCCTCCTCCTCCTCCCTCCCTCCTCCTCTCCTCCTCCTCCTCCTCCTCCTCCTCCTCCTCCTCCTCCTCCTCCTCCTCCTCCTCCTCCTCCTCCTCCTCCCCCTCCTCCTCCTCCTCCTCCTCCTCCTCCTCCTCCTCCCTCCTCCTCCTCCTCCTCCTCCTCTCCTCCTCCTCCTCCTCCTCCTCCTCCTCCTCCTCCTCCTCCTCCTCCTCCTCTCCTCCTCCTCCTCCTCATCCTCCTCATCCTCCCTCCTCCTCCTCCCCTCCTCCCTCCCCCTCCTCCTCCTCCTCCTCCTCCTCCTCCGCCTCCTCCTCCTCCTCCTCCTCCTCCTCCTCCTCCTCCTCCTCCCCCTCCTCCCCCTCTGTTGCACTGTTGCACTAAAGAGTCCCGAGCCCACTCTAGGAGCAGGAAAGGACAAAAAAAATGGAGTGGAGAACTAAGGAAGCACCATGGAGAAGAAGGAAGGCCGAGAGGAGGGAGCAAGAGAGGGAATGAGGAGAATGGTGTTTCCGAAGTCCCCTGGAGGGCTGCCCGCGGCTCCCTCGCCATGGGCCTGCCCGAGCGCGGGCTGGCACCTCCCCAGTCAGTGCAATCCGTCTTCCGCCTCCACCGTCCACTAGCCTTAAGTCGGGCCTGTCCCCCTACAGGCCGATTTTGGACGAACATTAAAAAAGTACACAACAAAATACCCAACAATACCCAAATCAAACATACTCCACAATGGTAAAAAAAATGTCCCCAGACTGTTGTTTGACCATTTTTGAATACTCCCCCTGTAGAGGGATAGACCCGACTTAATACTAGCCAGGCAGCGGCCCTCTTGTCTACCAGGGGGCAGGCTCCTCCTCTGGAATGGTATGAGCTTTGCCATCAGTTGCCGGGAAAAACTCGAACTGGAGCCATGGCACCTGGGGAGGCAAGGACGGGGGCACCCAAGAGGCGTAAGGATGGATAAAGCAGTTGCACGGGTCCATGATGACTCGAGATGCTGACACGGCAAAAACAATGGAGTACATGAGCGAAAACGGTGCTCACTGGTTCAATGACTGCGAAGACACCTGGGGCCGGCGCACATGGCGGGTACACCTGGGGCCTGGCGCACACGGCAGATACAGAAACTTGGGACCGAATCCGTCTCGCGCGCTGCGTGCTCGCTCAAGCTCTGCCTGCTTCTCTTAGGAGGCCAAGGGGGGGGGATTGGGGACTGAGGTGGTTGCTCGACGACTCTGGAAGCCCTGAATCCAAGACTGTTGACGTTTCGTTTCTCCTTTCCGCCGCCCTCCGCCCACCTTCCGCCGGCGTCCGTTGGCAGAACCGCCGCGGTTTCAGTGCCGCCAGCCTTCTGCCGGCTTCCGCCGAGGGCGAGACGCGCCGCAGGACGAGGCCCTCTCTGGAGCGCGCCGCGCAGGTCTGGGGGGCCCTGGGGGGGGGGCCGAGGCCCGGTGTCCCCGGGGATGAGCTCGGCACATCTGAGGGACACGCGCAGACACCCACCGCGCTGCGCAGCGGGTGGTATAGGCAGCCAACAACCAGCCAACAACTGATGACCAGATCCCCCGAACGTGTCGATGCCAACGTGCGCCCACGACATATTCGCTCCAACTCCCTGCGCCTGTCGCCATGCACCTCAGGAGACTGTCCCCCCAAAGCAGTCGTCATGTCTTGCAGAGCCATGCCTTGGGGCACACTTTAGCTCATCGACGTCTCACAACTACCGAAGATGGCAAACATGCACGTCTCTTCGCGAAGCTGGAGGGAGTGCGCCAGTACACTGAAAATGCCAGTGTCGAGTTAGCCTGTGCAGAACTCCTTGATCGCCTTGCCTGTTTCAGCTCTCAATGCCCGATCTCATGGGGACCGCTGGTCCTCCCCATCCACCCCCAAGCCCCTCCCTGCCTTATCCTGCCCTGACCACCGCACCCCCCCCCTCTCCACACAGAGCAGTGGCGGATGCCCGGCGCAGCTCAGCTGGAGTACCGAGAACGCCATAAAAGTCATCAGCGAGCGGGGATGCAAGGGACACCTTGCATGATTACTTGCCTAGGACAAACTGAGCGACCAGGTGAGCTTTCAAGGAGCAGGGGGAGCCCGAACCAGAACAGGGAGGAGGCCATCAGAACTTGGCATTCTCTCGACGGAAAGATGGGTAAATCCCTGACCAACCCTCCGGTGGTCTGGCCTGGCTAGGGTTCCCTGTCCCCGTCAACGCCAATCTTGATGTCTTGCACAGGCGCCATGTGCGTACACATCCGGTGTGAGTGCAAGACTTTTGTTCGTACGACCCCAGCATTTTCAGCGGCAACTCTTCGGAGCCTCCCATACCATCCTGCTGGCTCTTGCGAATCGGCGCTGATCGACTGTAGTCGACGCTAAATCGACGTTGATTCTGCGCGTTCTCATCGATTGCCAGACGCGCGCGCGCTTGTGAACGCTAAAGACGGGATTCCGATGACACACGAAGCTCCCATGCTTTGTTGCCGAATGCGTTCGAGCGGCCAAAAGGCCCGCCACGGCGCACGGAACAGCGTGCACAGACACGGCTTGGCACAGCACGCGCTGGCCGTCACTGGAGCCCTACGGCGGGAGCTGTTGCATCGCGAGTCGCGGCGGCGGCCCCGTCGATACGCTACAGTCATCGTGATTTTTTTGGTGTCAAAAAAACGATGAACGATGAACGAAAGGGCCTTTCTGGCCTTGGCGGGTCGAACAGGCTCCACGACAGGCCAGCAGCTCGGGGACAGTGCTGGCACCGACACAGATCGTCGGGGCACTCGCGACAACCAAAAAGACAACGCTTAGGCTGAGAGTGAAATCGGGCCGAAGTTCAGACCCCTCGGCACAGAGCCCTCAGGACCGCAACAACCAAAAACATCAAAACAGCCCGACATACTTCACGCATTCGAACCTGAACAACTGGAAACCAAACTGTAGGAGGAAGGAGAAGGGGAAGCCAACTCAGCACTCTTCTGGAAAGTTCGCCAGCCATCACGCCAGACTGGTCCGCCTCTCTCAGGGCGCGAGTGAAATGAATTAGTGTCACATTCGCTAGGTCGTGAGGGCAAATCTGCATGGCGAGAGTGGTGACGTCTCCTGAAACACCGCTCCCATGTACGACATAAGCGAGTGCACAAAACAGCCACGGGATAATCGACCAGGAATACGCTCCAGGGAATGGTCAAGAATCCGCTGCGAGTCAGTTTGAAACCGTTGCCATGCCTGGAGCCCTTGAACACTGCGATATACAGATGCTCCAACCACATGTTGAATCGAGACGCACTGTGCGTTGCAGCCTGCATCCCCAAGAGCACGCATCATCTTGCCACTGAATTTGAACCGCGGGCCAACACTAATGATTTGCAACGCTCTTTTTTAAACTTGGAACAGACGCAGGGTGGGACGATGAAATTGAAGCACGTAGCTGAGCACAGAAACAAC